TTTCCTGCGACTCCGTAAACATCCACAGTCCAATTCTTACCGAACAATTTTTTTCCTAGATGTTGTAACATTTCAATATTCGAGTGTCCAAAAAATATAAATATACAAAATTATTCGAAGGATCCCAGTCACAATTACGGCGAAGCTTGTAAATGATTGAGTAATAACGGGAAGGGGAGTCGCGCTACAAAGGCGAACTTTTAATCCAAAACTTATTTAATTCGCATTCGTTTAGAAACGTCCCGTTCCCGTCGTTATCGTCCATTCAAAGTAGTCAGATGTTACGCACGCGACCGTGCGAAACTTGTGCTTGCGCATATGCGATGACTTTGTAATTTGCGCGATGGCTCTTTCGGGGAAAGGTAACCCGTGTCCGCCTTCGTTAAATATGTTGGCCGAAGGTCCGGTATGCCAGCGCTACCGGTAACAAAACGATTTCCGACATCGCCTTGGCCTTCGATTAATTCGCGCCGTTGGAAGTTTCGCTCCAATTTTTAAAAGAATTGTGATGTCAATTAAAAAGTCGATAGAAGAGTATAGATTATTGAAAACTCTCGAAAGATCTGCCTCCAAAACACAAGAAGACGGTCCCACGTGGTATGGTAACAAAAATCTCTATGTCTGCAGCTCACATCAGACTCGTTTGCGAGGCACGAAATAAAAAGGAGAAAGCTGGTATCGAGTCAGCGTTTACGCGAGCACAGAAATATCCGTGGTTCGCGCCATTCCACCCCCTCCTCGTTCCAGCGAGAAAAGTACGGGACGAAAGGGTCCGTCGGGGGATGGGGCAGTCGCTTGCTGGGCGAACGGCGTATACCCGGTGTACAACGGGGGAAAAAGACGAGCGTGGCATCGATACACGTGTGCGTACATACAGTTTGCGCGATAATGGCCGCTCGCTGGCCGATATAGAGATAGCCTCGGTTAGGCTGTGCAAGGCACAGGGGGCGGAGGGTCGTTCGTTGGCAGGGTTAAGCATAAATCAATCAGGTTGCGTTCGACCGCGAATATCGAAGAAACGACCGGTCGAACGTCTCGAGAGCTCGCGGTAGGTTGGTGATACACAGTTGAAGAAGAAATATCGAAAAAGGAAAAGTTCTATATAAAAAATATTATAGCACGTTTTCGATTCAGCTTTACCGCTCATTGCCTAACATCCTCAAGTAACCTATCTCTTTTTCTTTTCGGTCGCGGCAGGGGTCCACGCGGTTTGGGGCACTCCGGCATAATTTACGAACGTAGAAGACACATACTTGACAAAATATGCGAAAACACCTCGAAAGGTGTTCGCCGAACACTGCGAGAGGTCCGCAGGGTGGTTCCCCATCCCTGGATCACGGCGATTTGGGTCGAGAGTCTTCGAAGCTCGATGGAGTTCCAGAGAGTACAGTGGAGTTATGGAACGTCTAAATCATTCTGTTGCTGGACGACCGTTTGACCTAATTAAACTATCTAGACTCCCCTCCGCGGTGTGCACCGAGCGGCAGTTTCGGGTGGCGAGCTGTAAATTCGCTGGCTATAGCGTACCATGCGATGACACGAATGCGCTATCTCTACCGCAGATCGATGCGGTGGAATCGTGTCGAGATGCGCATCGGAGGTAAGGTATTGCTTATTGATGGTGAGGCTATGGTATCGGGTACTCTGGTGCAAAGAGTGACAAAGATTCAGAAGAGGAAGTTTAGAAATTGGAGGACTCTAGTCCTAGACATGCAACACACGTCACTCTCGGAATTGCAAACATGGACTCATCATGGAATGATCCTAATAGAACCGTGAGAGCACCTTGCACCAAAATGTGGAAGCATTCAATGAGAAAAGCCAGCCGAATTTCATCTGTCCTGTAAACTCTGATACGAAACAACGCAACAGCGTTGTTGCTGCTCGAACGAAAGCGGCCACGAGCCACGGAGCATCCCGTGGCCAGCTGTCTCGCAACAGGCGTAGCTCGGTAGCCGGGTGCATCCTGGTCCTCTGCGAGAGGCTGTGCAAAGGGGGAGCAAGGAAGATGAGAGAGTAGTTGCGCTGTCGCGCGGTGTGGCTCGCGGTAATAGGATTTCACGTAAGCAGCCTCCCAGGCAGCGGCCAAAAATCGAAGGAGCTTACGGACGGCGAGATGCGCCGCCGGCCGGAGCAGCCACCGTGCTGCTGCCGCTTCCAACGAACCAACGAACGAAACGGCCAAGGAAAAAAGAAGGAGAGGACGAATGGATCGCTGGCAGAGGCGCGACGGAGACGGAGCTAGGCCTGGGGAAACCGTGGGACGGGGAGAGACACAAAGGAGGTTGGAAAAGGAGAGGAACCGAGGGAAGGAGACGGAAAGAAAGACGTCCGGGCCGTACAATTTTAATTAACCCGGTACCGGGTAGCCGATCGCGATCGAATCGGGTGCACGATCTACAAGGAATCTACATAAGATCCTCCACTCGCGGCTACAACTCAATCCCCTCTTTCTATTCGGCCCGAGAGGGCCTTAAGCGGCCCGCCACGGACTCCGCCGGATCCGGTGGACACGAACAGCACAATCTTTTGCACCGGCTCCCGCAGTCCTCCTGCCCTCGCCCCCGCCCCCGCCTTGCCACGCCAGCTCTTATCTCGCCAAGCATCGAAGATAGCAGCCTCTACTCGGTGGCTGCTCGCCAGGATCCGGCGCGCTCATATTGTTCTCCGCGCGGCGAGTAACTTACCGGGAGAGAGACCGCTTCTCGCTTCGAGTCTCCTCTTTTCTCCTTCTTCTTCTTCGTCTTGTTTCACGATCGGGACCGATGCGTTCGCGACCGCCTTAACGACGATTCCGAGGCATCTCGACGCCTCGAGTGCAGGAGGAGATCGCCAATCCACGGTGGAGTTTCTAGGAGTTTCGTAAGGGGTCACGCGCAAGGATAAAGTTACCGAGTTCCATTGGAAGAGTTGGTCAGTTGGAGGTTAATAGCGATGGAAGTTAATTCCTCGCCTATATGATCCATGGTGCATCCAGTTTCCATCGAGCACGTGCTTCAAGTATCCGCGACGACGAGGGCGTCTAATGTATTCCATCGAAAACGTAAATGCGGGACTTTAATTACCCATTAACCGGCGCAAAGTGTCGTTTCCACGGCCGTTAACTAATGCGTTCAGCCTGCTCTAACGAGGGGGATCCTCTCGTGGAACCACGGAGCCGTGGACGCGTTTTTCAACGGGACCGGGGGGGTAGAACCGCGGCATTCTTTCGTTGGCGAACGTCCCCTCGAGGCAATGCTCCGTCCTTTGTTCCTGCGGCGGTCGATCGGCCGATTAAGCCGAGAGTTTAACGCGAGAGGACGTCCAGGCCCCGAGGATGGTCCCGCGCGTCCGTGGCCCGACACGTGAGCGGCAACGAGTTCATCTGGTGCGCGTCGCGACGTCCACGCTACCTTGGCGGATTCCTCGTGTCCACGTGTACGCGTACCGAGAGTCTTAGCCCTTCCTCGCGGCGATATCGAAGGAGGAAAGACGGGGCCGCATAAAAGGACCGAAATCCTCGCGAGGAGGAGACGATAGCGAGAAAAGACGATGGGCGATACAAGAATGAGGAGTGAGATAGAACGATTCAGGACAACGGAGCGAGGGAGGGCCGATTTAATACTCGAACGAGCCAGCAGCTCGTTTTACACCAGATGGTTTTACATACCGGCCGCTATCGTGTTACCGCGCCTCCACGTATGAGTGCATCTCTAATACGCGCGGACGCGAAAACGAGAGCGAGGGCCCTTCGTCAAATCTGCGCGGAACCACTCCAATCGGACAAAGATCGCTGATCTCCTTCCGGGGAAGCTGCGAAAAGCTTGCTGCTTCGTCATATACGATAGTTTGGAGCAAAGGAATCACAAGTAGACCATAACTTCGTTCCTCCCAACTTCCTAACCGTCCGCCACCTACCTCCGCGTAAACGCCTAACAAATAAACCCAGAAATTTGTCACGAACGTGACCAAAGAGATTCGTTATCCCGAAGAGACTATCATTCGCGGTCGAGTTACCCCCAGGCGAGGTCTGCGCACATAACGTTGCGGGCTGTTAGGCCCAAGCGGGGCGTGCGTGCACGCGTTGTCCGCGCGCTGATACACGTTGAAATATCGGCGTTGTAGCCGGTAGATAAGGAACGCGCGTCTTAAGTAGGCAAACGACCGAACCTAGGTAACGCGATTAACGAGGCCCCGCGAACCGTGGCGGCGTGTACTCGTTCGTACGCCTTCTTTCTCATTAAGCGGGTGATAGATCGGCCTCGCGCGTTATTATTAAACGCGTCCGGCTGGGAGGATATCTCCGATCGCACGAAAGAGGGAAAACGACGCCAAGGAGGCGGGAGGGAGAGGTAAGAGCCAGTCCAGCCGAGCGATTACGCGGCGAAACCGAGATTAAGCGTCGTTTATCGTTGCCCGTTGATAACTCGCGCGTCTCGATGCAAATCGCGCCGATCGTTTAATCCAGATCGATCGACTCCTCTCCTCCTTGATCGCGCCCGTGAGGAGATCCGTCCAGACGTCCGTTTCCACCGCTAATTATAATTAATCAGTCGTAACCGACGGAGCATTCGTATAATCGCGAGTGAAATCACGAAATGCCTGCGATCAGAAACACGAGCGTGGAACAGGTTCCAAACTTCAGCTGCGAATTTCTCCAGTCTTCGATGGGTCGATCGATCTTCCGTTTACTCCGTTTTAGCGCCAGTGATAAAGAGCGTAATGAAATTACGCAGCTGCGAGGACAGACATGGTCCGAGGTGCCAATCCGGATCTTTCTTCGATCGATCGATCGATCGTGGAGAGGACATTTTTCATCCTCGGACTATTCGAAACGGCTGCTGCATACGAATTCGCAGGTTTCGCAACGTCGTTATAGCGAAAGTAATGGTTGACACCGCGACGCCGTTCTCCGTGGCGAGCCGAAAAGCCACGCAGAAAAGGGGAAAGGAAAGTCGAAGAGGATGGAGACTAATGCCCGTTAAGAGCGGCCTCGAGTGTCGTAAGAAAGCGCCACTGACCTCTCTCGTAGTTGATTTGCCTCTCCTGCTGCCTCGCGTTGTCGGCCGCGACCTTGAGCAGACCCTGGATATTCCTGAGCAGGGTCTCCGTACTCGAGACCGAGGGATCCTGGCCACCCTGAGAGACGGCCACCGCCGCGGAGGCGATCTGCGAGTAGTTCAGGGCCTGAGGACTTTCCGAGCCAGGCGCGGCCATTGGCAGGTTCTCTGGCACGTCCGACAGATCTGGAAAAAGGCACACCATTTGTGTAAGACGTTTTATTTATTTATTTAAGTTTTTTTTTTTTTTATTAAAATTTGAAGCCAGAATGTTTAAGAGGGTCTAGTCAAAGTAACAATAATAGCCTAATAGCTCTTCCTACGAATTCCTGCACGAATGAAGCCTACTCTCCTTCGATTCCGCTCGAAATAAAATAATGGCACGCGAGCGGTTCGTTCCGTTCGCCTATGAGGCCGGAGTTTTTTGTCCCCGTCCCTCTGGCGCGTATACGGCCCCGCGTCGCCGATAAATCGTCGGGGCAAGGATCGTGGAACAACGTTCGAGGGAGGTCTCTCGCGTTCGGGCGGAGAGGAGACTTACAGCGCGTGCGTGTTTCAGAGTCGTAATCCCGCGCGGACTACTTGTTACCCTTCGCCACGTTTCTGATTTAACGTCACCGCGGACGAATTAAATTCGCGAATTAAACGGCCGTAGCCCCACGGGCGCCGAGGCCGCGATTAGTCCGACGCTAAGGCTTGTCGAGAGGCCAAGTCGAACACCGAATTGTCGTCCACGAGCGTGCAAACGCGGCCAGAGGACCGCTCGAGCGTCCAGCCGCGCGATTTATCCTCGTGTGTCGCGCCGCGGGATTTGGAGGGAAAACCAACGAGATTCCTCGAGGGACGAAGAACAAAACCTTCCCTCCCTCGTTCTTCCAGGATCTGGCAAACTCGTGTTCCTTTTTGCCCCGCGTCCTGGGCGACGGAGTGCGTCCAACCCGCGACGCGTTCAGCGCGGCTAAAAGGGCGGGAGTAGTCTCGTTATTCTCGCTCTATCGACGATTAGCCTGGAAGCATGGTTTTGGTCGTTTGGCGAGGAGAGGAGTCGGAAGAAAGGGGGGAATCTGAAGGATCCAGGCGGATCGGCCGGAATAAAGGATGCCTTATGGTTATGGGCTCAGAAATCCGGAGAGAGAGAAAGAGAAAGAGAGAGAGAGAGAGTGGCGAGACAAGACGTCTGCGTGGGTTCTCGCCGGGGCTTAAGTGACCGACCGCTCGGTGGTACGGCCCACACCGTGTGGTGGCTTTGGTCCCGGGCTTGCTTTACGGCCGATGATACGTGCTTTATTGTATCGTCTTTTAATTATCAGCGCGCACCTACAACGCCACGGCATTCGGTTACTTATTGCCATTGGCCGATTTAATGCTCGCGCGCCTCTCTCTCTCTCACTCTCGATCTGGCCGGCACCTTTTGATAGCGAACTACTCCTCTACTCCTCTGCCCTCTGCCCTCTTCTCCTCGTTTTTTTCTCTGGCTCCTTTGCCCCGTCGATTTCGCCCAGTGTGTCCTTCCACGTCCTGGGCCCATTACAATTATCTCCGTGCCCCGGGGCCCGACGAGTACAGTTTACGAGAAATACGAGGCGCGACTCGCGGGGAGGACGTCTCCTTTCAACTCGTCCGCAGTCCTCGCGGGAATTCGCGAGCAGGACGGAACCGAGCTCCAGGAAGTCGCGACGAAAAACGGGCGAATCGCGGCAGAACGGATTCCAGGAACGAGAGCGAGATAGCGGCGCGCGTCTCATTAAATCAGAACTGCATTCCACGGGCGTGTACACTCCCACGGGCGTTCGATGGGGTTCTACTTCGATCACCGCGTCGGGCACCATAGGTAGGATGTAGCCGATGCATACGACACGCTGCGAGACACGGATTCCTTCCCCCCGCGGCTAAAACACGACCCTCAGAATTTATACGTCTAACTCGTGTCTTTCCCGAAATTTAGGAGCCCCGCTAATTCGAGGGTACACACTCCGGATCCTCTAATCTGGCGAGCGCTCAGTTCCTTTTAGACGTTGGTCGGGTCCTTGCCCCGCGCGAATTCCAAACCCTCGCGCCATTCTAGCCATACGAACGCGAACTGTCCCTGTTAACACCGAGCATTACCGATAGGAAATTTAAAAGAGAATCTCTTTGGATTTTTAATGAAAAGAAGACGAGTGGATATCGACGAGGCTGGACGACGTCATTTCTTTTTGCTCGCGTCGTGGGGTGTGGATTTTGGGGGTTCTAATTGGAATATCCAATTAACGCGCACGGTGCAGGGACAATCGGCGAATCGATTAGAAATCATCGCGATTATGACGCCTCGATGCGTCGAAGCGCTCGGGACAGCTGAGATAGCACCGCTGTGGACCGCGGGCCGAGATTCTTATCTGGACCCATCTTTCATTATTAAAATGAAACTAAATACCGAAGATGCGAGTCTAACGACCGGCCGGCTCTCTCAGTGGTGCTTCTTTCGAAGGTACATCCACCCTGGAAGCTCGCAATTTTCAGTCGTGATCTTTTCGACGAACGAGGGATGGATGAAATGGCAGAGATGGCCGAATGTATGAATTGCTCGACACAGATTATAATATGCAGCCCTTACTCGTTACTCGAAACTGTTATCCATCCTTCGCTCCATCTCTGCCCTCAGTCGAAACCATTCTCCGCACGGAAAATTTATTCTCATTACTATACCATTAAATCGCGGAATAATTAATATTCTAACTCGTCAGCCTCAGCGGACTCGTAGCAATTAATTTTCCGCGAGCAACGTATTTTCAATAGGCGCAGGGAAAACAATCCGACACTCGTCGAATTACCGATCGCTCTGGACTTGAAGATCAAATTGCTGGAAATTATCCAGAAGAACATACGACGGTTTGCGTGCAAGTCGAGCACGATCGAAAGCGGGAATCGATAACACCGAGTACGAGTCTAATCGCGAAACGAGATCGAATTGAAATCTTCGATCGAGGAGGTATTTTGATCGAAACAGGAATGTGAAACAGTAAAGTGGAAAGTATTTGGCGAAATTGTGAACAGCTCCAAGGAGTTTCCAAGCAGGAACAACTTTTGACAAGTTTTGACAACCGCTGAGGCGAGTTGCTCGGTGAGCTGGCGATAGAGAAGACGAATCCCAGAACGTCGTTTCGCCGAGGGGCCGAGATGATCGATGAGAGGGTCTGACCTACCAGTCGTCTCGGGGAACTCATCTTTAAACGCGGTCCGTCCAACCGATTCGATATAATTATTTTACGTATGCGCGCCGCAGAACGGGGAACATCGTTTCGACTTTCGGCACACGTCAAATTCACCGTCACGGTCCGGCTGGCGCTAATTGATCGACCGATCGTCGCTCGGCCCGGTGCGCGTATCGACGCCTAGATCGAACGCGTTTCACGGCGAATCGTCTCACCTTCGTCCTTCTCGTTGTCGTCGTCGAGGTCCTCGGACAGGTTATCGTCCTCGTCCTCGTCGTCCTGCGAGCGATGCGACGCCTCAGCCTCGCTTCCGGAGTGCTCGCCCACGCTTCCGCTTCCCGCCGTCTTCGACAGGTTCAGCACGGGACTGTGACCGTTCGAGGAACCTGCAACGACGGAATCACACTTGACTAAAAAATTGCAATCGTGAGAAAAAGGACAGGCTGATTGTTAGGTTATTTTTTGGACAGTTATATATACGTGGTACAGATTGTGATAGTGGGGACAAACTAATCCGTTGTTTCCCGCGCTAACTTTTGAGGAAATTTTGCTGGAAAAATTTGAAATTTGGAAGCTATATAATCTAAGATTTGACACGGTATATCTTGTTACAACCTTTAATAATAGTAATAATAGATGGACAATCTCCGAGGATCTCTGTTTTCTCGAGAGATGGACACTGGTTGATGGATCTTATTTGTCTCGGCGCATCTCTGTTTGCCTGCCCCATCCACTTTCCGCGGATATCTGCCCGCTCCCCTTGCTCTTTGTATTTGATATCCTAGCATTTTAATCCTGACGTGGATAGATATACTGTTTGGCCAGCGACGCCGTCCAGGAGTGACGCATCGCTCGGGCCAGGCGTGCACCCGTCGAACCGGTAGAGCTGACCCGCCACTCGATACACGCGTTTCATCGACGTCTTTGTTCCGATAGACGCGTAACGAACGCTATTTTGCATAATTCGACCGAGTTGCCAATTTTACAGACCCTTTTCAGGAGACAATTTTATTTATTAATATGGAAATATGAAATACGAGTTGTTGCACCAAATTTTAGTCGACAGTTGAGACGAAATTGAAACGAAACGACTAGAATTTGTTTGCTGGTTCGATCCTGTGCTACATGAAGACCACTGTATTTGGACTAGAACGATAATCTTGTGCTTAAATTCTGTTCCCGAGTGTTCGTCTTACTGGAATTGTCCAATCTGAAAGTTTCGGGCGCGAGAGGACGGGTATTCGAGTGGAATAGGATCGATGGAGCACGGTCGACGGTCAGAGTCGGCGTTGAAATCACCGCAGGGGGACCGTCGATTCCGTGGGGCCCCCGATCGGAACACGATCGGATTCGAACTCGAAACGTCCGGTTTGTCGCCGCACGGCTGGACCGCATGGAGCACCGCGCCACCAGCGGGGATAAAAGGTTCGATCGGACGGATTAAAATATTACGGGGAATCACAAGAAAGGTGGAGCCGCGGTGCGTCCCGTAACCCGATATCGAACTTAATCTCTGGAGCCTCCTAAACGCTCGGTCGGGCCAACAAATAAAGAAATCGAGAAAAGGACTGGCCCGAGCCACGCTCGGTTAACTCGTCCTCGACCGCAGGATCTTTCCGCGTCGCTGGTTTTCCACTTCTAAAGATATGGGAAACTCGATAAATAGGTATTTCGAGATGCCTGTACTTGTTAATTCAGTAATTGCGAAGGAGAAGAGAGAGAGAGTGAGGAATAGAGTAGGGTGAGAGGAAACAAACGAATTATGATTTCTTTTTATTTGGCGTTTTTGTGGTAAATCGTCGTTTTGGTTTTACAACTTTAAGACAGCGTTGCGACGCGCCTCCTAGCTAGACGCATCGCTTAATGGTATCCGTAATACTACTCGGCGTTATTCGCCGTATTATCAACAGATTACTGTAATTACGGTAAACGAGCGTAAGCGTATTTATCTTACCATTGTGCGAGCTCAGATCCCTGGGTTTTTGGTCCAAAGCGAGTGCTCTCTCGGCGTCTCCTCTCTCCTCGCGGAGCCTGCAACCAGACAACCACACAGAGGTAAAGCTTCGGTATTAATACCGTGGATTGAAATCGACCGAGCGGAGGTGGACTCGACCGCGCAGGGCATTAATTAAATAATTATTCTAGTCGCTGGCCAAGCGAATCCGCGCGCGTAGGAAGATAAGTGCCGGTCTCTCCGCGAGCCAAACGTTCCGACGATTATCGACGTTAAATCGATTCGCGCTCTTTCCCCATCTGTCACGCTAGGGAAGATGTCGCCTTTCATCTCGAAACGCGTTTTTGTCCACAGGGGATCGTTACACTGAATCATCCAAAGGGAAACCTTATACATGGGTGTAGATTTAACATTGATGTGTATTTAAAGGGAATTTAATATAAAAATTTACTAGGTAAACCGAAACTGTTTCCTCTGTCTTCGCCCTGATAAATTCTTTCACAGGAGTCAGGTCTTGTACCGTATTCCAACTGTATGGAAACAAGGAGACTACTGTGGAAGATATGCTGCTGGTACACGTTGTCCCACTCGACCATCTAACGACGTCCATTCGAAACGCGACGCTAGTCGTGTCGTTGGGTCGCTTTAAAAGGACACGTTAAACGAGGCGACGAGTCCTCGCCGCTGCTGGGCCTCCGGCCCCTCTTTTATTTTCTTTCGGTTTCCTCGAATGTTCGACTTTACGAGGGTCGGGGCTCGTTAAGGTGCACACAGCGCGGCTTTATGCTCCTGCATCGCGAAACTTTTAATCTCGCCCCTATATTGTTCGGCCCTCGTGCTGCCTTCGGGCTGTTCGGTAGCTCGCAAATCGTTAAGATCCGCGTCCCGATGCCGCGGGACGTGCCGAGGAAACGCTACGCGAAACCAACTTCATTCGATCTCAACTCGTCAACTCGTATTTTCTTATTTTTTAACTTTCTGAAGCTCCTTATACGTTCCACGGCCAACGAAAGTCATCTGAACATGGTGGACAGTGTTATAACTAAATGTACAATCATCCCTCGTGTCTTGTAAGTCCTTGGTCTCGTCTCCTCCAAGATCTCTAAAACGGAGGGATCCAGATGAAATGTTATCGGTCCGCGAAGGATTTTTCGAAGAAATTAAGAAGGAAGGTGGCTGGGTCGAAAAGAAGCCGAGGGAGGCTTTTATCGCGCGCTTTACGCTCGAGGTCATCCGCATATTTACGAATTTATTTTCCAAGAGGCGCGCGCGTCGAGTGAGAACGAAATGGGTGTTTCCCGGACGATTAGGCTCCCTCCCATCGCTGCTGCCCCACGAAGACATCCCACCTTTCACGCTTCTTTCCTCTTCCTGCAAATTATTCTCCCGGGTATACTTTTTCCCGGGCAGCTCTCTCCGCTCGCGGGCCGAGGCCGCTTCTTCGCGCCTCGAATCGAACCGCGGACCATTAAGTAAGAAGTTAATATCATTAAACATAATATTGGGCGCATCTGGGAGCCGCAGAGCACTTACCGAGCCACCCTCCCGCCGCAAACCACCCTCCCGACCGTCCTCGACTCAGCGCGAGCCCGCGAACACCCTCGACCGCCCCCGCGCCCCCTCCTCCTCTCGAACCTTAATTTTTTAATGAGAAAATGCTTTCAAAGAGCCGGAGAGAAATACTGTGGCGCGTCTACCAGCGATAAGTTACGGCCGCGTTAAGCGCAATGGAGAGGAGAGGAGCGTTCACCCCCTCTTTCCTCCCCTCTTGTCTTTTCAACCGTCGCGACTGCGTCTCGAGTTGCGACGCTGAATTCCGAGGAATGTCGGTGGGGGTGGTTCTTTCACCTGTTCGTGACAGTATCATCAATGGATTGCCGAAGATTTTCCAATGAAAATGAAGCCAAACACGACCCGCCAAGTACGTCCCGGGACGGTGTATCTCTCAGGCATCATACGGTGTAGTTTGAATGATGTAGTAGTACGACCTGTAGTTGCATCTCTCAAAATGATATTCATACCAATAAAAGCAACATTTGTTTAAAATCCTGAGTTATTACTTTTAAACGAGATCACAAATAGTTAAATCGTAACTATTACGCACCAAAAAATAGACAAAATTCTCTGGAAAAATTGTAAAAGGATATCAAAGTAAAGACTCTTATCTATACTGGTTTTTTTCAAGGGAGATGACAATCTCTCCAGCGAGATACGAAGATCGCGCGGGCGGGGACCATCGAGTAATAGACGTATCGTACGCGTCCGATATCGCGACGACTTAATTCCGAGGATAATTAATATTTTAATTGGTAATACGAGTCGATTACGAAGACGATGGGTGTCTGGATCCGCCCCCACGCCCGAGCCTCGCCCTCGAAGCTTCCACGACGGTCCTACGCGGCACCAGAACGGATTCGGACGAGGAGGATGCGGTGGATTCCACGGAAACCTTTCGGAGCTCTCAAGATGTGCAGGAGAGAAAGATGGAGCCGGACAAACATTGGAGGAAACATTGGTAGATTTATATGTTTGGGAGTGACACGAGGATCTTCGATCCACCTCCACATGTATGGGTGGCAGTCCCCTCGTACCTCCTTAAGAAGGTTAAGAACCACTAGAGTGGAGACAGGGAGTAACAGAGAGAAGAGATTGAGAGCCGATTCGCCGAGACGTCGCCGTAACCGGCAACGAGCCAAGGTTATTAAATTTGTAATTAGTCGAATATTACGGCGAGCGTCGCCGAGCGTCTGCGTCTTCACGGTTCCGGGCCGCACGGTTGCGTGCCGCGTTTACGCCCGCCCGCGTGCGTTTATCAGCGCGTTTACCTGTCCTCGGGTGAGTAGACACCTAGACGCGAGGCCACAGCCTTTACACACCGCGTTAATACATCATGGATTTCATTACGCGCGCCCGCGCCTTTCCAGCGCACGGAAACGCTCACCGCTAGTCGCGAATAATTACCGAGCGCCGCCTTCCATCTTGGAGGCGAGCTTCCACTGCGAGACTTGGTCTTGTTGATATACGTGCAGTTCTCAGAGAAAATTAGTTGACCATTGGGTTCTGAATATTCTGGATAGGATAGAGATTTTAGGAGAGACTTGAGAAGACTCAAAGAAGATTAAAAAATGGATCAACTACGACACTAGTCAACATTAAAAAAGATAAAATATTTACTCTCTATCCTTCCATAATTAACATGCCGAAAGAGAACGATGATTAAAGCGGTCTCAAAGTATACGTCGGGAGTTCAAACATCGTCCAAAGACAAACGTCAGGCTAAATACACCCCATTCGTCTCCTCCGGCAACGATTGAACCGTATCAATCCCCGTCGCGCTCATTCAGTATCCTACGATACGCGCAGGAACTAATAAGCCCAGCGAACGGTGCCCCTCCCCAGATCTTTGCCTTTAATTTTGATTCGGTAATGACGAACTCCACGGGGATTCCCTCCCCGATGCTTGGAAACGACCGCTCGGCCCAGCAGGAGTTCGTTAACAGGCGTATCGCGAGCTCGACCTGCGATTCCGCGATCGCACGGTCCATCTCTGCCTAGACTGCTCGAAAATCGGAGCGCAATTATCGATACGAAATGCACGCGGCAGAGGGATGGAGAAGAGATGGATACTCGACATTAGCGAACGATTCGCGAGCTTCAAAAATATATAATATACAATTTAGACACGTTAGTTTAAACGTTCTTAAAAAAAAAAAAGACATTGAAACAATGAAGAAGCTTGTGAACATAAAACTTTCTGAGAAATCCCAAAGCAATCGATCTACCTGGCTGCTGGTACTCTACTACTGTGAAATTATACTGCTGCTAAACGTTCCCAGCGCAAACTCCATCGGTTGAAATGCCTGTAAAGCGATCAACGCGATGAGAGCCAACGCTTGGATCTTTCTCGTTCGTCAAGCTCGCGCTCACAGGGTCGGAAAGTCGTTGGTCTAAACGGTCGGTTATCTGGCTAGTCGATCGGCATTGTCTTTCCTCGGAAGCCCCATTCGGAAGCGGAATCGAATAGCCGCGGTGGTCGACGACAAAGGTGGCCCCAACCAGTGGCACCGAGAAAACAATTTAGCTCAATCGCAACGTTTCTAGGCGGAATCTCTCAGGCGTCGTCTAATTAAAACGCTGTCCTGCGCGGATATAAAGTCGGAGGTTATCGCTGGGCGTCGTATCTGATATCCCTGGGCTGACTTAATCCGACTGTATTTCCAGCCAGAACAGTTTCGAGCGCCGACAGACACAGCTCGTCCCGTGCACGTACACGTATTTACGCGTACCTACGCGCGTATATGGAACGAATAGAAACTCGGGTAGTCTCATTTCCTGTCTGCGGGGGTCCCGCAGGGGATACATAATTAGCTGGTTCGCCCGTTCGTCGGAACGCCGAGACAGGGGGAACGTAAGGAGACCTTTCGCCTCGCTCGCCTTTTGCTCCAGCTTCCTCGCGCTCCTCCGTTGCGCGCAAAATTATCGCGAGACGCTGGAGTGGGAGGAGGAAAGAACCAAGAAAGGGCAGAATTTGTTTCTCTATTTGTTTGACGTTTTCTTTGCGTGAGGTGCTTGTGAAATAAATACTACAAGATACTCGTCTTCTAGTATTCAAATAAAATTCTACCCCATCTCCGGACGGATCCTCGGGGCTCGAAATTGAACGTGTTTTTCCTCGTCCACGCGTTTCTTCCCCACTCGCAATTTCCTAAACGAAGCGATCCCTTTGGTGCTCCTCGCCCGATGAACTTGACCGCGAGCGTATTAAAGCCCGCTGCGAGACGTACAGCGAGGAATTAATCTCAATCGTCGGCGGGCCGAGAGGCGGGCGTCATTTATCACGACTCGTTGCCAGCACGGGGACCTACCCGCCGAGGGCTGGAATCCACGGATTGATATGAAGTTAGCAACGGTAGTCTGCGCCCGATTGTGTCGTGACTGCTGGCGAGATCTATTAGTCAAGGGAGCCCGGCGCGGAACGGAAAACGGGAGAAGAAACCTGCTGCCTCCGTGAGACCGTCCATCCCTCGCCAGAGGGAGAGATTCGAATAACAAATGAGATATAAAAATTGTGGGGATT